CTGTCACTGTCCTTTCTTCCTTTTGGTACAAGCGTCTCCCTGAGCCGACGATTCTCCCGCAGTGACACCTCTCACGGGCACTAATGAGATCCGTGTCACAGAGCTAATGCGTTCTGACTGGACTCTTGATAGACACCCCACTCCTTCAGGGGAGACCACAGGCCAGCACTGCCCCCCACCCCCGGGGCCAAGCCCCCACCCTGCCTCCTGCCAGCCCAGCTCTCTTGCCAAACTATCCTGGGTGGCACACTCCTGTGAGAGTCCACTTGGTCTCTGGCCATGCCACCTGCACCATAGGCCTCAGAGAGGTCTCCTCAGTTCTGGAGCAGAGGGGCTAAGCTCCGAGGGCAGGACCACACAGCTGGGCGTCAGGGAAGGTTGTAGTTACTCTCCCAGACATTGAAACCAGCAGTCTTTGGGGCCTCCGTGTCACAATAACAGTTAAGATTTTACTGACATTTCCTGTGTAGATTTCCAGAAAGAAAGAAGGTAAGGAGGCCCAGGCCCTGCCCTTAGAGAACCCAAGTATGTTAAGGGCCAGATTGTTACCTCCAACAAATTATAATCGGGCCCAAGTGTGTATTCAGTGTACTCACACTGGGAGGGCCAGGCAAGATTCCCAGAGGAGGTGGCTCCTTGAAGATGGACAGAAATCTCCTGGGCCAAGAGGTGGAGAGCAAACTGAAATCACAAAGAACTGTCAGGGACAGAAGGAGGTCAGATGCCAAAAGCTGCAGGAACCTGGCTCTGAAGGCAACTTGTAGCGGGGTGAAGGAGTGGCAATGCCGCCTTCCCTTCTTCCTCAGCTGCTGCTACTGAGGTTTTGTCAAGGCCTGTGTGTTTCACATGATGCTGAGGGACATGAGGGAAGTGAGCTTGTTTTCTTCCACATCATCTCTGTTGGTAGCACAAAGCCTGACACCAAAAAGGTATGTCATAGCTCAGTACAGTGATGAGAACACAGGCTCTGCACTCAGATGGACTTGAGTTTGAATCCTGGCTCCTCGACTCAACTGTCTATGTGACTTTAGGCAAGTCACTTAACTTAGCCTCAGTTTCCTCATCTATAAAATGGGAATGATGATGCCTGCCTTCATTTCATACGACTGTTGTGAAAATTAAATTAATTAATATAAAGTGCCCTAAAATACTGTGAGTGCTTTGCTGACCCTTTGCTGAAATGGCAGAAGGGACACTTGGCAGTCCCCCATGGAAGCTGCCTTGGGCCCAAACCCAGGATGCTGACGGCACCCACTGGCAGTCCTGGAAGTCAGCAGTTCTAAATACATAGTCCTTCCTCACCCACAACCCGCTCCGGCACCACCCTGTTCACCAGGCTGCCAAGGCCAATCCACTAGCCCCGGAGGAAGTGTCCCTCCCCTCAGATGCCACACTGACAAGCCTCCAACAGCCTTTTTGCCCAGCGCTCCATTGCCTCTGGACCCTCCTTGGCTATCCCTAACCCTACCTCTCTCCCTCAGTGCCCAAGGCCAAGCCTACCTGTGAGCCCTGTGGCTGTCATCTTTACCAATACATTTCTAGCACCTAGCACAGTTCCTGACATATAGCAGGTACAAGGTCACATGTATTGAATGAAAGTTCTACCTGGTCCCTGGCCTCCATTTCCACAGCCACTGTCCTGGCTCTGAATTAACCATGACCTCTTGCTTACCTTATTGTACCTTTCCTCTGGCCTGCCTGCCTATAGTTTCTCCTCATGAGGCCTTCCTGTACTAACTACCAGACTGCACTGACTGAAGCCCAACTCTGACCAACTCACTCCCCTGCCCCAAACACTCCCAAAGCCCCCCCTCAAACATCTCAGCCTGTCACGCACCACCATGCCAGCTGGCCCTCTCCCCTTCTACAGCTGATCCCCTGCCCCGCACCTGTCACCCCAACACTCCAGCTAGCCTGCCTCCTTGCTCTCTCGGCACCTCCACAGCACCCATGCCACACTCCCACGGCACTGCAGGAACCCAGCAGACGCTGGAGATGGCTAAGCTGTGGGACCTGCAGAACCCTCGCCCAGCATCACCCAGTGCGCCTCACCCCCACCAATAGACATACCACTCCCCACTCCAGGCTGGCAGCTCCTCACACAGTTAATTAGCACCATGTCACTGAGGACCAGCCTGAGTGGCCAGTGACAGGAGCTGACCCCTGACCCCAGGGCTGGGAAGCAGTCCACATCAAACTCTTACAGCGCGACCCTTTTAGCACGCACAGTAACTCGGGGCACCGCCAGCTGAAGCTCATTAAAGCTGTCTCTTTGGTGCGAGGGCCATTAACCTCACTGCTCAAAACCCACGCCTCCCCTCCCCGCCTCTCCCAGCCCAATTAATGCCCTGCATCCTCCCTCCCTTCCAAGCACCCTCGCCACACCTCAGAGGCAGCCGGAGCTGGCAGGGCAGCCCTCTTCATTCAAAGACTACAAAGATGAAGTGCCAAGAACCCCCCCCCCAGGGAGCCCCTGGTGCTGGCAAGGCACAAGAGGAGGGAACTCCTTGAGCACCTACTATGTGCCAGGCACCGCACAAGCTCTTTACACAGGTGACTTACTAAACCTTCCCAAAAGCCCTGAGAGGCAGGTGGCACTGTCCTTCATCTAAGGTCACAGGGTCCTGGGTGGTGGAGCCAGAGCTTCCTGTGGCTCCAAAGCCCTTACTCTATTGTCACTCAAAGCCTTGGGCTGCCCCATGGGGCCCACCCACGTGGAGAAACCTTCTCTGAAGGAGGAGGGGATACCTCAGGGGTCCTAACCCAGGGTCAACAGGTGAACAGACAGGAGGGGCTTCACTGAGTCTCAAGAGGAACCAAGAGTGTATCCATGTATCTTCTCACAAAGGGGTTCCCTGGGACAGACACACAGAAGCAGGGCACCCAGATCAAGGCTGTGCAGGATGCATTAAGCCAGTCCCACTCTCCCTCCCACCAGCCAGACTCAAGAACTAGCAGTTCCCTCTCCCCTGGACCAAAGCAAGTCTTCTCACTGGTCCTCTCTCTCTGGTCCCTCCCTTTCCCATCACTCTTTCATGGATTCATTTACCCATGCGCCCGTTCAGTCATCCATCCGTATGCATTTATTGAGCACCTACCAAGAACTAGTTTTGTGCAGCACAAACCGCCTCACTGATTCTGAATCAGAGCTTTGATCATGTCATTCTCTCGCTCACAAACCTCCTACATCTCCTCAAAATCTCAGGAAAAATCAACACCCTTTAACCATGCAGCCTTCAAGGCCCTGCCTATGTCTTTGTTTATTTTCTAGTTGTTCCCTAACCCAAATTTTCCACTCCAGTCACAGGAAACTACTTGTAGATGTCTGAACTTGTCTTCTCAAAACACTGGGCCTCATGACCCCAGGTCTTTGTACACATAGTCTTCCTACCTAAAATACCCCTACATTTTTCTGCCTAGCAAGCCCCTATTCATCTTTCAAAGATTCCAACTCAAGTGTTCTCTTCTTTAGGAAACTTCCTGCTGACCTCCTAGGCACATCACCTTGCTGGGTTTGGTGTCTTCTCTAAGTTGCATGGAGAACTTCTATGGGGGGGAAAAGCAGTTCCAGTGGAGTACCCCCAGTTCCCCAGGCCTGTGGACTGCTTCCTCTTTTCCCCTGGACCTCAGAAGAGCCTTGGGATGTCCCAAAAAGAATGATATGGGGGATCCCAGGAGTCAGTGAGATGTAACTGAAGAAGCAGAAGCTACCTTGGCAGTTGAGGACAAGGAAAACCTCCTCTGGGGAGATGCAGGTGCTTCTATCACAGCCCTTTGTCCCCTGGGTGGCAAGCATCTGTTTCATTCTCTGTCTCTCTCCAGGATGTGCACTCCCTGAGGACAGGAACTTCTACTCAGCATGCTCAGCACCCACTAGGCACCAGTGAATGTCTGTGGAATAGCGAAAGGGGCTACTCCTGGGTCCTTCAGTCCTTCTAGTATATCTCTCCAGTCCCCCATAATGATACCTACCCAAAGGTACACAGGTTGTGACAATGTTGCAGCACCACCCAGGAATACCCTAGCTCCTCCCCACTTGGAACAAGGTCTATGCCTGGGCAAGTACCCCACTTAAAAGCATTTGCATGCACATATGCGCGTATGCAAACAAAATAGGACACAGAAATGGACAGATACGCTTTCTGACAGATACACACAGGCTGGTGGTTGCGTCCCTGTACAGATGCATGCCCTCAGAAAAACACGGATATATTGTTATACACACACACACACCTCCTTCAAACAGATATATATTAATATAATCATAGACGCATTACACTCTTAGAGACATATAGCTAATGGTGTCACACATATGCAGACATACAAATACTCACAGACACATATTAATAATGACACATCAGAAGCTAGCAGTGCCTCCAACTGCCTGGAATCAGAGTCACTCCAGTCTCCTACCAACCAGGAATCCCCCTGAGGGTGTACCCCCACCTGGTACCCCAAGTGGCCCCTCCCAACCCAGGCACGGCTCAATGGAGGCTGCTGCTCCTGAGGGGGAGTCAATACCCTGTGGACGGAGCCATCGGTCAGAAGGACCCCGACTAATTAAAAGCTGGTGAGGTTTAAATAATTCATCTCCTTAACTCCCATTGATCGTCCAGTTTAGTGGCCACAGACCTGAAACAATATTAAACAGCCTCCTCCAGTTCCATGGGGGCTGGGTAAGCTGACATGTGCCCACCCTGTGAGGACACTGCCCACTAGGGATGCAGCCAGCGAGGGAGGAACCTTGGCCTGAATCCAAGGCCACCTGTGACTCACCCAAAGCCAAGACCCCAGCCTCCTCTGAAATGCTGTTTTGAGAGGTGCTTTCCAGCGGTCCTGTTCAGTAATCCCCTCACTCCACCCCTCTCCCGCTCCCCAGCTATGGAGAGAGCCCTGCTGGGGCAGTGAATGAGCCATGGAACCCCTCTGTGTGCCAGAGGACTGGGGCAGGCAGGCAGGGGACTGACCGAGCTGCCAGGGGGATATGCAAAGGGACTGACCGATGCCGCTGTGGGGCCGACCTATGTGCTGCAGGCTGAGGCCCTTGTTCATGTCTAGAAGTCCATTCTTGGGCCAGCAGCCCATGGCGAAGCTGTAAGCCTGGAAGACAGGAGGCAACAGTGATTAACAGAGGCCCTGACCCCTGAACCAACCCTACTCACCAGGTCTCCCCCCACCCCCAGATCTTCCCACCAAGGGCTTACTCTCATAGTGCCACCTTGTGAGAGTCCCCTCGCTGGGTCCCCTTTCCACTCCCCAGCAGAAAACCCCTTCCTTCTCCAGAGTTCCCTTTCTCCAGGGCTTCTCCCCAATGGAGTCCCCAGCCCTCATAGGGCGCCCCTCACCAGGGCTCCTCTCTAGAGAGCTCCCAGTGACTAGGATCTTCCTCATCAGGAGCCCTCCTCTCACCAGGGCACCCCCTTCACCATGCATCCCCCTTAGATTCCCCCCTCTCCAGAGCCCCAAGCACTTTGCTGGGCTCCCTCCCCGCAGCATTACTGGTCACCAAGACTGGCTTCAGGAAGCACCTTGGAGTCCAGCGTATCTAAACTTCACTCCAGAGATAGGAATACTAAAACGAGGGCCCTGAGCAGGCCCGGCTGTGGAAGGCTCTGTGTGCCATGTGGGGGCTCAAGTGAGGTGTGGAGTAAGGTCACCTGCTCAACCCAAGCAGCTGCGAGGGGAGTATGTGAGGGTGTGTGTGTGTGTGTGTGTGTGTGTGTGTGTGTGTGTGTGTGTGTGTGTGTGTGTGGTGGGGGGAGCAGATGCTCTGCTGAAGGTCAAGTGCTCACTTATGCATATTCAAAGCGGCCACCCATCGATCTGTACTTAATTGTTTTCCTGGGGTTGGGGAAGGAAGTGCCAGGGGCATCGATCTGCTCAGGCCACGGCACTCCACTGCCCCCCTCCATCCCCTACCCCCCCCACCTGCCAGCAACCTCCACCTGAGGGACACATGGCAGGAAGGGGACAGCATCTTCTCTTACAGGCATGACTGACTTGACATCACAGATGAGGAAACTGAGGTCCAGAAAGAAGAGGCTTACATGGCTTAGAATGCTATGAAGTGGCCGAACAGGATTTAATTCCTGCTTAGCCTGCTAACAAAAGTCCTCGGCTTCTACCAGTGGGCCTGGCAGCTAGTTGAATCTTCAAACATTATCCATACCCTCACTTTAGAAGTCCCTAAACAGCAGGCTGCCCTTTTCCCAGTGTCAGGACAGCGTGAAGGACAGTGATCAGTGAGAATGAAGCTTAGGTGAATTCCAGAAGTTGTGGGGGGAGGGGAGGACGGCATCCTGTGATGGAACCAAAGTGACTGCCAGCCATGGTCAGATGGGTACTGTAGTGCCCCAGCCCATTTTGAGGCCCAGGAGGTCCCCATCCCACTAACACAGAGGGGAGAGGGTCCAGCACAGGGTCAGAAACACAAGCCAGGAGGCTGGGGGCAGACTCTGTGTCCACTCTTCCTTCCCGGATGCAGGAACTAACCCTTCAGCACCGTGGGTACTAGAAGGCTAGAGCCCAGTGTCCTGAAACCTCAGTGCCCTTCAAAGCCATCTTCCTTGACCACAGAGGTACTAGCCACCCTTTTCCTAGGTCACAGCTGAACCCACAAATTGGGGCTGAGAATGAGGCTCAAGGACAGGGGAGAAGACGCTGGCGCAGAGCCAGGGCAGAGCGGGAGGCAGGCAGCAAGGGAAGCAGCCAGTGGGCGGTGCACAGCTGGAGGAGCTGCTGAGCCTGGTCAGGGCTGAGGCTGGAGCGCAGTGGGCCAGAGAGCAGTGGCAACCGCCTTTCAAGTACTTTAAAATCACTTACAAAGGCCGGATTAAACGATCAGAAATTCCATTTAATAGGACAAATAAAGAAATAACAATCTACTCTATCAGCCTAGAGAAGGCGAGCTGGATGGGTTTTTTTTCCCCTCTAAAAAGGAAAAAGGGAAGGAAGGGGGAAAAAAGAAGGATAATGTGTGTTTACTCAAGCAAAGAAAAAAATATTTAAGTGATGTCGGGGAGAAGATTGCAGTAACTAGTGAAGAATAACATCGTCTACTTTGCTGTCAAATCACACCCGAATTTCAGTAATAGATTCTCGGCTGACACTCAATTCAATTCGAAGGTGATCCTGCTTTATCCCAGCCCATCAAATATTAAACACTTGCATTAGCAGGTGCTGCCGCTTCCCAGCTTAGAGCGGCGGGCGGGCGGCAGGGCTGCTGAGGCCCCTCCGCTCTGCTTGCAGCTCGGGGACAGGGCAGCTCAACGTTATCTGCACGTCATCCCGAGTCTTATCACAGCTAAGCGGGAAGACCACTTCAGATAACATTAGATGCTTGCCCCGCGCGTCACCATGATTAGATTATTATTGTAATTATGACTCCCCAAGATCTTCTGCAGCCTGGGCAGAGCGGGAGGGGGATGGAGGGCAGCAGAGCCCGAGAAGGCCAGTCTGGGCCAGGGCAAGCTGGAGCCCCTGGCAGGAAAGTGGAGGTGCCAGGCAAGGCGGCAGCCCGGTCCTGCCTGACGGATGCCTTTCAGGAAGGGCAGTCTAGCTTGTCAGAGCGAGGGCGAGATGAATTGGCGTCTCCACTGCGGCCGCGGGTGTCATGCCGCAGTTTCATATTCCCAGATAAGGCGTGATAACCAATTGCTACCGTGACATGGCCTCATCCAGCACTTCCTCAGGGGGGTACAGGGCAGGGGGAGGGCTGGCGCGTGCACATGGGTCTGCCAAGCTCCTAATAAGAGGGATTTAATTTTTACAAATGCTGCTTCCAGCGGGGCCTTCACATAACAGCCAAAGTCCAAAATGATATTAAAAACGGTTAATTAAAACTGCTCTCCTTCAGCCTGGGCTCTCCCCCTGCTGCCCTGCTGAGAACCCTGGCACATCTCCCCCAGGTACTGACACACACTCCTGCAGAGCTTAACCTTCAGATGTGACCACCAGCTTCATGGAACCACCCTAGGCACAGTACCAGAGCCCAGCACTTCAAGCTTCCCCAGCTCCTGTCATCCCGAGTACCCACCAGGCACAGCGGCAGACACAGATAGCCACCTAGAGAACACAGAGGGTCCTACAGCAAACTGTGCTCCTGCCAAAGTATGGTCTGCATCCTCCCACCTGCTGCCCCTCTGCACCTGCACCCACACCCCACCACCCCACCACCCCAGCACTCACGTCTAAAGCCCATGCCCCTCCCGCTCCTCTATGTAGACCACAGCGTGGCCCGACCACATATATGCGGCACACCACACGTGCATCAGACTCTCCCTCAGGTGACTCTGCCTGTCCTTTCATTCCTTGTTCCCTCTACACATCCTCCTTACGAGATTACATCTATCTACATGTCTTAGGAGAGCCCTTCCTGGGAGTCCAGCTCAGGGCAAGGTGATATGGGTTATGTCTAGAGATTCTAGCTGAGAAGTCAAGGCCAGTACCCAGAGACTGTCAGAGCAGGGGGATCAGGGAGGCTGAGCCCTGTGGGTTGCTCACAGTGGGGACACTGATGACAAGAAGGCCATGTGGGCTTGGAGGAGGCTTGGAAAACTTCCTGGAGGGAGTGGTACTAGAGGGCCAGGAGGGTCTGACAGATGACAGGAGAGTGCAACATTCCAGGCAGAAGTCTCAGCAAGGACAAAGGAGAGTGGCAGGAGCCAGCGCAAGGGCTTGGGTGTGGCTGGGGCAGCCAACTTAGAGAGAAGGAGCCACATCTTAAGGCACCGCCTCCCAACTCCACATGCCAACAGCAAAGCGGCCACCAGTGGGCCTTGTGTCCACCCCTTTACTCTGCTCCCTCTCCCTGCTCCCTTGCTCTCTCCTGCCAGCCTGTGGGGCATGGTGGAAAGGGGCCCAGAAGCTTTCTGACCTTGATCAGTATGGGGCAGGAATCTGTTTAGAGTTCTTTCCACGACTTGTGCCTGAGCCTCTTTCCCAGTGCTGGCTCCAAACTCTGGGTGCCACTTCTCCAGCTGCACCTCTCTTGGCCATCAGGACCCACCTGCCCAGCATCAGGGCCCACCTGCCCAGCGCTGCAGTCAGCATCTACCCGCTGGGGCTCCTGACCAGAGGGCGTGGCAGGTGGAGACTGAGGAGCTCCTGGATCCTGTACAGGGCAGGTACTGGTGCTGAGCCACTGGGACGGGTGGAGTTGAGGTGAAAGAGGCTGGCCTAGCACACCAGCCCACCCCAACCCTGTGCCAGGCAGGCACGCGCATTTCCCTTCCCCTGGGCTGCTGTAATTTCCATGCGCGGGGAAGCAGGTGCCGAGCTGTTCCCGGCTGGCTCTCCCCTCTCGTGGCTCTGCCTGTCTTGGCTGCTGCCCCATTAGCTTAGTGGCCAGCCATCTGCGACGGGCCTGCCGCACAGCCCTGCTGTAGGCGCGGCGGGTGGCCCCTTGTGTAACAGGGAGCTTTGCCATTAGCGCCTTTAATATTCTGACACCTCAGCACAGCCTGCTATTACATGCAAACGCTGATCGCCCTGTGAAATTACATTGCTGGGCCCACGAAATGGAATCGTGTATAATCAGCCTCCTCCATGCACTGTCAGTCCCATCACAAACACGGCGCCCGGCGGCTTACGGGGGCTTAGCAGCTGCGACAAGTGTATTGGGTATAATAGATGAAGTAGCCCTCATCGGCAGCAGCATCCTTCAAAGAGGAAAGAAGAGGCATCAACAGCTGCTATGGTGTCTCTGCCCATCCATACGCCACCTATCAGGCCCTGAGAATGGGGTGGACACAGAGGGGGCAGGGCAGTGGTAAGGCTAAAAGGCTAGAACCCAGTTCAGCCTGCACATGGAAGAACAGAATGCTCTGCAACTTCCAGAAAACCCAGAGCTTCCAAGCCAGCACCAGCACATTCAGCCTGTGCAGCCTCGCCATGAGGTGGGCAGGAGCAGACCTTTAACCACACCTCTGGATGAATGACCTGTTACCCTGTGGGCCTAAGGCTCACAGGCCATTTCCCAAGATTAGGAACCACATCAAACCACCTGCCATTCCCCTAACACTCAACAGAGATGAAGCTGTAACGATGACATTCTAGAAGATGGGTGAGAGAAAGTCGGACATATAAATACTACTTAACTT